GTCATAATGCACATGGATGTACAATGTAGCGGCATCGCTAACACCAACATGGGGTGGCGGAACAGCGCCATGAATGACTACTGTCAGCTAAGGGCACAACACAGGGGTTGGGGCTCTCTGGGCCACCGCCAGTCATCACCTTCGGGAGCTCTGCCAAGTGGCCTTTCAGGGACCTCATCTGTGAAGGCAGCTCACTACTTCTTTGGACAGCCCCATCTACTATTTCTTATCTTTGGGGTTGAAATCTTATTTTCTACAGCTTCCAACCACCCGCCATAACAGCAAGCCTGTTCCAGTTTAACATTACCGCATTCACTTACTTGAGCAGCAGGCTCCTGTCCTGAGTCGAGAGCACCGCCATTTTCCTCCCGGTCTTCCCCTCTCGCTGTGGACAGGCCCCAGTTTGCCTCTGTCCAGATGGCTGCATGGCTCAAAAAGACCATCCCCAAGGGTGCTGTCACATGACCCTAACGTGTGTTCCTACTGAGTTCCGTCTCTGAAGTCTGGACTTTTGAGGTTGTAAATTAAGATGCTCTTCCCTACCTTAAGCCCAGTGTGCTGATTCCAGCGGAGGTTTGTAAAGTCTTCCTAGTGACCGGCCACATCTGAATCGGCTTACGTGGATACCTTAGGCTATACAACAGTTACCCCACGTTTCTAGGTTCTGATACGCCACTCACGACAGAAGTCGCAGAAGGATTCCAAGTGATCGTCCTGACATGTCCCAGCTTCCTCCAATCCACCTAAATTCTCTCAGCCTTCCAAACAGAACATCCACCTCCCAGCTGAGCCCTGAGCAACACTGCCTCTTAAACTGTGGGTCACAGCCCAGCTGAATGTGGGGGCCATGAAGAAAACGGCAATTGTAAGAAGTGTCTGAATTTAACCGGTCAGATTTTAGTTCAAACTCAAACACGTAAGGAGCCCAAGGTGTTTGTAGCCAGCTTGCCCAGGCTGTCCTTCAGGGCTTCACTGAGGCTCACACAAGACACGCGCACTGCACTGTGCAAGCCTTCACGCCACACAACCTTCACACCACACGCCAACCAATGCAGCCTGTAGCCCCTCGGCTCACTTCAAGGCTGCTGGAGGTGACAGACTCCATTGCTGCCGTACGTACAAAGGTTTTGCTAACTTAGAAATTTTGTGACTTTTATTGTGGAAAACAGAACATTTTGCTATCTCCCTCTTACATGCAAATATAAAATTAGTGTATCTTTGAGTTCCGCTGTGTGAGAATATTTGATTTTCAAAACTGCCATTTGAAGAATGTAGATGACTTCACTGGTAAACATCACTTGCCTTGCAAGCATGAAGACTGAGTCCAATTACCAGAACCTAAGTAAAAGAGGCAGATTGCACACCTGCACGCGTACCCGTGTGCGCACACCAAACTGTTGCTTCAATTGGCGACTTGAATTCCATAAGAGAGATGTGCAATACATTTGGATTATGGCAGTACTTCCCACGATGCTTTGAGACGGTCCTAACCGTATACATGTCATTTTATTCTACATGTTTATAGAAAGAAGCCATCACAGTCACGGCTAAAACTGAAAGGCATGGGAGATAGTCTCTACCCTGTGGTGTCAAACATTCAGACAAGATTCCATTCTTTATGTAAAACTTTAGAGCCTATCAAGAAGCTGGGAGGATTGCCTGGTGGTTAGAGCATGTGCTTCTCCTGCAGAGGAACCGTGTCTCACGCCTGGTACCCACCTACGCTAGCTCACAATCACCTGTAGGCGCGGAAGAATCCAGTGCCTCTGGCCTCCATGGGCTCCTGTGTTCACATGAAGCTACCCACACAGACGCACAGACACACACACACACACACACACACATATACATATATATATATATATAATTCAATATAAAATAAAACTTTAAAAGTGTAAAAACAAGAGTTTTAAAAGCACATCACTCTCATGAGCATGTACATTAGCTTTAGTCTTCAATAAACAACAAAATTATATGTATACCAAAGGACTGTTTTAAAAGAAAGGCATCGCGAGTAAATAGTTCATCATTACACCTGTTTTACGCACCTATATACTCAGGGTTGCATAAATATTTCTTGGGCAAAAAGTGATTGAGAGTGGAAAACGACTAAGGAGCCTGGCCCCACGTGCCCTAACCAATGCTCTGCCAATCCGCCTGGGCCCTAAGGAACGCTGGCAATGAGAGACTAGGTCAGCAGGGTCATCACAGCCTACGAGCCTGTGATAGTGGGATCCGAGATCTCTTTCCCTGTGTTGCAGAGGGAGGTGGGGGACAGGGAGTCTGGGGGCTGTGAGTGGAACAAAAGGAACAATACCCTCCAACATGAACGCTTCACTGTGGAAGGCAGCCCCCCCCCCCGTGTTTGCCGCACTCAGCTGTCAATCACTCCTGCATTCACTTCCCCTCCCCTTCCTTCCCGGCTGCCACACACACTCAGCTCCTGAAGACGAGCCTCCAGCACGGCCTGGGTTTTCCCCTTCCAAGTTCATCAGAGTGATTTCTCATTTCTTGACTTCACTTTGTGACTCAGTCAATAATGGAAGCATTCACGAGATGTCCCCCCCCCCCCGAGATAAGTTAGTAGAATCACTGACTCCCCGGAAGGCTGTAAGACCAAAGCTGATGGTGTGCGGACTTTTCAGGGGCACAGAGCCGCAGTGACACCCCATCCGCCCCTGGAGCCCATGTGGTTTTATGACAGGTCTGCTGGGTGAAGGGAGACTCCCACCTCCGCGCCGACCCGTGCAAACCTCTCCACACTTTCCCTCTAAGCTCCTTGTTCTTTCTTCAGCTGGACTACAGATGACCCCAACCGTGACCTCAGAAATGACACCTTCATACCGGGAACCCCACGTAAATTGGGGACACTCTCCTCATCGGCTGCTGAGAGAACTAAGCTCCCCTGCTTCAAACGTTCATCGGGCATCTACGTGTTACCAGAGCGAAACCTAGCTAACTCAGCGACATAGCTGGGAACAATCCAAGCAATTTGTACCAATGGTCAATGCTTGTTGCTTTCCCAAAAAGAAACAAAGGCCATTCAGAGGCCAGTACGACTTCCTGAGGTGTAGCTAAATAAAAGCTCTGTTTGGTCCTGAGCACTAGGAAAAGGTGGCAACCTTGCCTTGGGTTTGCAAGGGCTTGGCCGGCAGCCACCAAAACAGTCGGGGCAAATTCCTGTGCTGTCAGAACTCTTGACAGGGAACTTGCTTCACATCCTCCTGGGCACACCCCACGGGCCCTGGACCGATGCCCAGCTGCCTCCGCAAGTCCTCTGTCCCTGATTTCATCTGGCTTACCTTGCAAAAAAAAAAAAAAAAAAAAAAAAAGCATCTCAAAATATCGTCCCGGTGTTCTCTCTGCCAGCTGGGGAGAAGCTGCCAAAATGCTTTCTGGAGAGCCACACCCATCTGTCCTGCCTCAGCACAAAGAATGCTCCAAGGGACCTGATAGAGAGATACCTGGGGTTACCGCCCTGGGGCAAAGCCCTGCTTACCCTGAAGACCTACTGGACTCCGGGTCCTTTCTCCCGAACACTACACCTGAAAGAGGACTCTTCTCCCAAGGGATCTGAGCGTTTTGATAATCAGATGACGTTACGCGAATTAGCAGCCTGTCCTACACCTAAGTGTTTGTTAGGCCTAACTCCAAGAAACTATCTAAAGGTTGAGCTCTTGACTAATGCCTTTCCCTTTGTTTAGTGCGGGTGACTTATTGTATGGGACTGCGCTGGTACGTTACGGGTGCTCATCTTTTGATGGGTGTGCCAGGAATGCAGTGACCCTTTTCTCAGAAAAATCCGCATATGTTCAAGCATGCCTCTGGTTTAGACAACTTCAGAGACGGTATAAGAGCTGAGGAGAGTTCCATGGTTCATCCCAGGGTCACAGTACCTGGAACAAGAACCAGCAGACCTTTCCTATAAAGGGCAGAGCGTGAGTGGGTCTGGCTCCGCCCAATGCCTCGGCTCAGCAAGGGCGGGGCGAAAGCAGAACAGACAGGGTGCGTAAGACGGATGGCCACGCTCCAACTGAACTGTGGGCACTCAGGTTTCCACTTCCTACCAATCGCGCATGGCAAAGAATGTTATCCTCCTCGTGGGAAAAAAAAAATCGAAAGTTTCCCTATCTGCTGGCCCACAGGCACAGGCTGCCAAACTTCACCGGCAAGCCAAGGGCCATCACCGGGAAAGAACTACGCTGCATCTTCACCCTCTCTGCCTTCTCCATGGGGTCCGGGATCTTTTTCTCACGGAGTTACGCGGCAAACCGCTGGAGTAACCGTGGTCAGACTGGCGCTGTCGCCAGGAGACATCACAGCCATGCTCATAACACCCGAGACGGGTGCAGCTCGCTCAGAATGCCGTGCTGGTGACCGTTCCGTGTTAGCCTCAGATCCGCGGCTCTATATTAAGACGAATACAGATGGGAAAGAGAGTGGAGGTTTTCCCTCTAGCCTCAACTCGGTCATAGTTTTTGCTCCTCGTGGAGTGGAAAAGTAAATGAGTGTGGTTGGCAGAGAAAGCACAACACACCAAGCAAGCTTCAGAAAGGTCACTCTAACCGTATAAAAATTCACAGAGATGTATAGAGATTACCGCTGGGGATTTGCTGACATAGTTCCCTACTGTGTGATGCTTTCATTGATGAGTTGCTTAGAATAAAGTCATTTTAAGGATACATATGACTGTGTTCTTAATTTGACTTTTTTTTTTATCTTTGTACAGTGCTGGGTTCAACCCAGGCTTTGTGTGTCCTAGGCAAGCACTGTCCCACAGGGTGACTACTTCTTCAGTCTTTAAATCTTTACAACAATATTTCAATATAATTGATTTAGTCTAACCCTAGAGTTCCATTGCATGGGTTTTTAAAACAATAGCCTAAAAAGCAGCCCAGGGTTCTAACTATGTCCTAGAGGGGTCCACAGGACAAAAAATGTCAACGAGTTCTTCCTTGCTTGCCCCAGAAGAGGACCTGCGGGACCAGAGCATCTCTTACCAGTGCGTTCACATCTTCCGTCTTGTGGATGAGCATGCGAATCTCCTCTGGGTCACCACTGAAGATGGCTTGGACCAGCGGTGGCTGCGAAAACAAGAGACAGAGTTAGGACCTTTGCTCGCATCGAGGTCTGTGTGCGTACACAGACCGAAGGAAGATTTGTTCCCAGTTTGCTCAAGAATTATCAAGGAGTGGGCAAAGACAAATAAGGCCTGAGCTACAAGCACAAGGAGGCTCGTTGGTGAGGTAGTTACATAAAGGAATGACTTTAGTACAGCCTGAAAGCCATGACACAGAGCCAATGTCTGGGGCTATGAACTAAAATAAAGTAGAGTAAGAAAATCTCCCACAGTTCAGAGTGTCTCTGATAGACCCTTAAAGTTCCTATCGAGGTAACCAGCAAATGCAGGATTTTTGAAGCCACCCTTGTTTCGGACTAAACCTTGTCACCCCTGACACAAATACTGAAGTTTGACTTCAAAAGTCGCTGGAGAAAGGACCCTTGAAGGTTGTTCAACAAATGGTGCTGGCATAACTGGATATCAACGTGTAGAAGAATGAAAATAGACCCATATCTATCGCCATGCATAAAACTCAAGCCCAAATGGATCAAAGACCGCAACATAAAGCCAGCCATACTGAACCTTTATGAAAAAGGTTCTATGGAAAGGGAAGTGGGAAGTACACTTGACTGCATTGGCATAGGAGACCACTTCCTAAATATAACCCCAGCAGCATAGACACTGAGAAAAACAATTAATAAATGGAACCTCCTGAAACTGAGAAGCTTCTGTAAAGCAAAGAACATGGTCAACAAGACAAAACAGCAGCCTACAGAATGGGCTTCACCAACCCCACATCAGACAAAGGTCTGATCTCCAAAATATACAAATAACACAAGAAATTAGTCATCAAAAGAACAAACAATCCAATAAAAAATGAGGTACAGACCTAAACAGAGAACTCTCAACAGAGGACTCTAAAATGGCTAAAAGACACTTTCATATTGAGTGAGGTAACCCAGACCCAGAAAGACAAATACAGTATGAGCTCACTCATAAGTAGCTTTTAGACATAAAGCAAAGAAAACCAGCCCACAATTCACAATCCCAGAGAACCTAGACAGCAAAGAGGACCCTGAGAGAGACATACATGGATGTAATCTACATGGGAAGTAGAAAGACAAGATCTCCTGAGTGAATTGGGAGCATGGGGACTATGGGAGAGGGTAGAAGGGGAGGGGAGGAGAAGGGAAGGGAGCAGAGAAAAATGTAAGCTCGAGAAAATCAATTTTAAAAAATTTTAAAAAGATAAAAATATCACCCACATAAACCAGCGACCCAAGGAATTAGTTTGTTAAGAAAGAAAAAAAGAAGGAAGGAAGGAAGGAAGGAAGGAAGGAAAGATGTTTGATTGTTTCAATATGGAATAGTCAACCTCTTTTTCCCCAACTTCAAATCTTGACAACTACATATATGTACTTGCTTACAACTATTGGAAATGTTTCAGTCTTGACAGGTAATTACCTGGATGATAACAGTGTCACACTCTGACTCAGGAGAGGAACCACCCAAGAGGCGTATTAAGATAAGATCCCTGAGGCCCTCTCCTGAGGGTTCCGGCTGAGTATCTAGAGAAGGGGGCTGTGGAGCTGGATGCTTAAGAAGTCACCTCCTAACTCTTCGGAACTGGCCCCAAACACTAACCTCAAATGATGTCACTGGCTTCATCTACCTCCAGGTCTCCTCTCACTTGGAAGTCTGAGTCGTCATTTTTCCCCAAGATCCTTCCTTACCGCCCCCCCCCCTTTATGTCGCTCTCCTACTGTCTTTGTCATAGGCTTTTTGTTTGTTTGATTTGCTTTCTTGAGATAGAGTGCTGCTGTCCTTAGCCCAGGCTTTCTTACAGATTTGGGGTCTTTTAGTCTATGTATAAGTATATATATGTGTATCTGCATGTATATGTATATGTATATGTATATGTATATGTATATGTATATGTA